AGATTTTTCTTCAAACGTATATTTGGAATTCTGAGAATTTTTCGCGAAAAATATTAGATTTTCTTGTAATATTCCGACAAAACCACATACTTGTCGCAAAAAAGTTATCGAAAAACTTGTCACTTCTTGAATATTCGTGTCGGCGTTTCCAGGCGCGAGTGGAGGATCTGCAGAGGTTCAAGCTGGCGTCGAGCATCGTCTGCTCGATAATCAGCTCTTTCGGCGACACGAACCTGTTCCCCCGCGAGTGCTACGAGTTCTACGCGCGGATCACCGGCAGGACTCTGCGCATCGACGAGAACTGGACCTTCTCGTTCCAGTTCCCATCGAGTAAGTCCACTTTCCGAGCTCCTTCTTCCACGTCTTCCTCTTCATCCTCTTCCTCTCCTTCTTCCACATTGTCTCTACAACAGGTCGACAGAATGTAGTTTTGGGCCTCGTTAGAATTGTCGCTTTTTTCTTGTTTTCTCTAACTTCTTTTTCTGAAAGCGTCTGACGTTTTCAGGACATGGGAAGTTCAAAAAACAGTTTGACAATTCTAACTTGAGTTCAACTTAGTTTCACGGGTAACGTTTTTTCTCACTTTAGAGGAAAAACCTTGTAAGTAGAAAAACAATCTTTAACAGCTCCATAAACTTTTCTGTTGAATTTTTACTCCCAAAAAGTGACATTAAATGTGATTTTCCTGCACGCATTGCATGTTATTGTCGTCTTTGTATTTTGTTCAAGAACTGCGATTTTGCAATTTCAAAAATTGTAATTTTTTTTCAGTTTTGCAAAGATATCTAACTTTGAGTGATTTTTGTGTTCGCCGTTTTTTGGACAGAAGACTGTTTTTTTTGTTTTGGCTTCAGTTCTGACACTTGACCTCAGTACTTTCCAAGATAGATGCACAAAAATCCTGGCTGTACACCCATATTTTCCTAAAAATTCCCATGAGCCGATCTCAGAACGTGTATCGACTTGTTTTTCTGCGATCTTTCCTCCGCCTTGTTTTATACGGGAATCACCACACTTTTATACTGCATGTAATTATTTCTTAAAAACAAAACTTGTGTTTTTATCACTTGGTCCATCCAACGGAATCTTGTTTTCTTCACTCTTTTTTTGTCGGCTTCTGTGCATAATACCAATAAATGTTTATGAAACAAACACAATGAGCAAGAAACGAGGTTTTTCGGTACACATTGAATAAAACTAACAGTCCTTCTATAACTTCATGAACCCTTTCTAATCTTTCAGATTTTGACTTTTTTGGAAGTTGACCACAAACTATTGGAATGAAAAACGGAAACTTCACAAGAGAGAACATTCCACTCGAAAGTTTAAAATTATTTCAACAATTGGTTGAAAAATCACTGAGGTACTAGATAAATTGAACGTCTCAACGTGCAGAAATTCACATCTTCCCAAAATTTCAAAAATCGCTTTCCTGGGCGTCGTGTGAGAGAATTTTTTTTTGGAAAATTTCAAGTTTTGAAGGTTGATTCTGAAATTTCTAAACCGAAATGTCGCACAGCACAGACAATTTCCGTTTTGTTTTGTTAAGCAGATTTTGTCGGCAAAATCCGAAGTCCACAAAAGTCAATCTATTCGGAATCACTCTACCAAAGAATTATAAGATGCATGCCACAGCTTCCGCACGAACTGACCTTCCAAAAACAAAACTTTCTATCCCAAATCTCTTTCCATTTCTCGCGGTGTTGGTTGTGTGCGTGTCAAGATTAACGAGTGTGTTTCGTTTGGTGTTGCAGACAAATCTTCTCGTGGCGAGTTCTCGGCTCTGGCGGCCAAGTGCGCGGGCGCCTACTCGCTGGCGGCGCTGCACCTCGCGGCGACGTCGGAATCGCCGTCGCCACCGACAGCTGTCATCGTCTACCCGCCGTCCTCGTCTGCTGGGACGTCTTCGCACTCGGAGCCGCCGCCGCTGGCCATCGGCGGCTCGGTCGTTGGACTCAGCGTCGACGACGCTCGTGGCGGAGCCAAGGTGCTTCGGACCGGTTCCCTGAAACATCATCCGCTGGCTCACACCGCGGACCATCCGAAGCGCTCCGTCCAAGGCTCCGCTTTCGTTCAGGATCCCGTCGAACTGCGCTCTTCGATTAGCTGTGACTTTTGATTGTGGTGTCATGTGAAGGATCGGAGTGGCTTTTGGCGTGCAAAAATATTTTCATTTCTTTTTACTAATGAAAACGGTTCACACAGAGGCGATAACTTGAACTTTTAGTTTTCGTGCAAAAAAATCCTTTTTTTCCGGTATAATGTTTTTTTCTGATTTAATTATAATAACTTGTTGCAATTCTTAACTTTTTCAGCGAAATAATCCTGTAATATTTTGTATATTTATTTCATTCATTCTGAACAGGTTGGAATGTTTAAAAAAACCATAGACAAGTTCTATAAAATTATCTAGTTGGAGAGCTGTTTTACGGCCTTTTGAAACCTCTAACTTTGAAAAATTCATTGGTGAGATTTGAAAAAAAGTTTATTAATTTTTTTCAGATCTTCTTTACAGCAGAAAAACATTACAGACCCTCAAGCAAATAATAAATTTCGTGGAAGGTTTTTTGCGCGAAAATTACGAGCTCAATAACTTTCAATTCTCCTAACATTTGAAATTTTCTACTAACATTTTAAAACTAAAATTTTCAAAAGTCACGCCAAACCTTTTTATGATGCCGGTAGATCCGCTCGATTTCGAAAATTCGTTATCTTCGCCGTTTGTAAAGCTTCCGTTTGCAACTCGTATGCCAATTCCCGTCTGAGAAAGTACGCCAAAATTCCAAATCTTGAATTTTTTTTTGTTTCCGATAGACGAACAGTTGATTCTCAAGTTCAGAGTTCTTCCATTATTCGAACCAACTCTTCGCTGAGGTTGAAAGCAGAAAAAAATACATCAGAATCACCCGTTTCTAGAAAAACCTCTCAGGAATTAACCAGATTTGAAACTCAATCAAAAAATAATACTTTTGTTCCACTTGGATAGCTTTAAGTTTGACCCCCAACATTTCTCCGCCTTTGTTTCCACTTGGTCTTTCAACTGACTTTTCATCGACCCCATTTTGTTCCGATCAGATTAATCTCACCCAATTACGAGGTTTCGCATCTTACATAATCATTCACGGTCCGCACTTCAATAAATATTCAATAACGATACGAAACTGTTGAAAAGAAAACATCAAAATGTCTTCAATCAAAAAAGCTCTTTTTCGTCGTCTTAATTTTTAGAGTTGGACTCGTCGTGAAATGTATCACTTGTAGGATGTTTCTCGGAGCCGCCAGGCGAAGAAGAGGAGGAAGAAGAAGAAGATCGTCCGAGGTCTTCGAAAGGCCCTTCGATTCACTTCGCGCCGGCGGCCGGATGCTCCAAGACCTTGCCTCCGAACTCGCGACTCAACAACAGGCTCAGCAGCAGCGTCGGCGAGGTCGGAGCTCCGATTCGAGATTTCGAAACGGTTTCCTCATTTCAGGTGCTGCTAGAAGCCTCGGACGCCGAAGAATGTGAGCTGGACGTGATGCGGCCTTTGACTGCGTGTGGCGGGGACGGATCCAAATCTTTGTCCTACCTTCAGTGGGTCCATGAGAACCAGGCTAGGAGGATGCGAAGCCGAAGCGAATGGTAGACTACCCGAAATGGTTTTTCGTCCAATAAATCATTTTTCATAGGTTCCTCACGCCGATTATGCCGTCGAAGATGGGATCAAAATCTGTAGATTATTTCGCTCAGATAACTGGCAGGCAAATCCTCCAGACTATCGATTTGAGGTCAGCCAATTCCATATAATACTTTTTGTTGGGAAAATTATGCTCATTACTCATTTCTGAAGTGTCCTAATATGAATCATGAAACGTATATCTGCCCTTCTGTCCTCTTTAAAACTTTACTTAACAGAACACGTCCTTTTGTATACCGCTTTTTTTCAGAACGACGACTTCGGAACGACCGCTGCTCGATGTGCCTGCGAAAAAAGAAGTTGGGGTGAAGCCGACGCCAAGAGCTCCCCTGCAGGAAAGGACTTCAACGGGCATCAACATCTCCGGCTGGTCGCTGCCCGAGCAGAAGCCGTCGACGACTCCTCCTCAACCGCCGACGACGTCGGTGGCTCGTCGCCGTTCTTGGAAGATGCAGCAGATGCGGCCGTATCTGTCTCAAGCCAGTGTAAGTGCCTGCCGAGGTTAACCATCAGCTTGGCCGGTCTGCAGCATTCGCTGGATCACCCTGATGGAAGTGAGATTCCTCATCGACATGGTGGCCATGCATCGAGCGTCGAAGCGAACACCTGGCTCACTGACGTCGTGGCTCCTGAAGAGGTAGGATCGGTTGGAACATTTCCTCAGACTCCGAAGATTCCAGGTTCCGAAGAAGAGAAGAAGCTTGAAAAAGAAGGCAGCCACCTGACGGCGACAGTTTTTTGATAGGAACCAATTTTCCGTCTTTCACATATTCATCTACGCTCAGGGAGCTCCCGAATTCGCCTTGCCAATGCTTTCGCATCATTTTTCTAGGGAACATTGTATCGTCTTCCACTCGAGGCGTTTTCGACCTTTTTAGCTTGAGAGTTGCTCAAAAGCTTCGTCCAGTCGCTAATTTATATAATTTATTGCATTATTTGTATTATAATCATTTTTAGGTTGTGACTATGAGTCAACATGTCTTTCAACAAATCGTGTCCAATTCTTTTTCATAAGTATGCTGTTCACTTTCGTTGATACCACGTTCTTTCAGAGAGAAAAACCCTGTTAATTGCTCGAATTCCAGCTATCTCCTAATTCACTTTGGTTTGCACTTGCCCCGCTAAATTATCGAGTTATAGGCCAAGTTTAATATAACTTTTATGCAACAATAAATATGGCCTATTATAACATTTGTGGAACGCGTAAAGACAACAAAACAACCTAGAAAGACTTTTGAAAAGATAAAACAACAACAGAAACAATGATAAAACACGCGGAACCGGCCGGTGCGGTACTCTGGGCTGAAAAGAAAAAGAAAAAGGCGCTCAATCGGAAGAAATGAGCCTCGGACCCCCGCCGACTTGGCTGACGACGACACACGAAGCCGCATATTTTGCCGAGGAGTTTTGACGCAAATCCTCGTCAATTTCGTAGTCCTCCCTCACTTCATCCAGGCCTTTCTGTGGCAAGCAGAACCTCTCGTTAGCGAATTTGATGAAATTCGCAACGCTTGTTCTGAAGTCGCGTAATCTGACGATCAAAAAAAAACTTTTGTATATTTTCAGTTCGCTAGCAAATTCATATGATGTTCAATTAGTCGGATTTTTTTACTTTTTTTAAAATAAAAAAATAAGATTAATAATTTCCGGAGTTCCGAAAGTTCTGAAAAGGCTCAAAAAGAAAAATTTGTTTAGAAAAGGTTTGAAAAAAAGTTTTTGTCTACAGTATGGGATGTTTGAGATTTTTAAAACTGCCACAAAATTTGAATAAAATCGAAAAAAAGAAAAAAATATAATTTTGAGTGAAAATTTTTGTAAGTTTGCAAGTAAAAAAACCTGAACTAAAAACTTAATCGATATAAAATGGAATTGAATTGGAATGGAATAAAATGGAATAAAAAGGGAATTGAAGGCTTGAAAAATTCTACTCTGAAAAAAAGATTATTTCTCGGAAAACGCGGACATTTTTATGGAAAAGACTTTCAAAAATCATTTTTCAACAAAAAAAAATTCGGTAATAGATTGACGTGCGTCACGTATAGCAAATCTGCATTCTTTTCGATTCGTTCATAAAGAAATGAGTCGACATGGCCTTTCCATAAAACAAAAAGATTCTTGGGAAACAGGGAGACGAGGCAAATATCATAGAGAATCTCGTGACTTTTCATGACAGACGTGGATCATTCACACTTCTTTCTCTATTCAGCTCACATGAGGGAAGTTTTTCAGAAGTAAACCAACTGAAGCATACTTTTCCAAGAAGACGCAAGCGTTTGGACCGGCGTCAAAGGTGTAGGCCGCCAAGACAGCGCCCATAGAATCGTTGAACTCTTGGACCATGACCATGAAGTCCCACGACGATTCCGATAGGTACTGGAAACATGATAGAATGAATGAGCATCAAAACTAGTATCTTTGAAAAAAACTTATCGGGAAAGACTCTATCAGTGAAAATGAGTATTTGCTGTGAAATACCTTCAAAGGCGGATGAGAATCGAGGCAAATGGCGTGGAACTGATTGCTGTCCTGCATAATGACCGTCGCGAGGGTCTCGAAGTCCCTTTCTTCAAATGCCTTCGAAAGTCTGAACATGAGAATGCTGGATGAGTCGGCCACAAGGACAACTTCTCGACTCGTTGCGGAACGACGACGAGGGCTCGATGCGGCAGCAAAGCGCTCGTCTCGACGCTTCTGCGCATGCCCAAAGTGCTGCCGACCTTCTTCTCCATGTCGTCGAAAACGAAAACGATGCTTCGCAAGGAAGGCCATTCGGATTCGTCGAAGAGTTGCTGGAATACATGTTACACTTATTCGTAAGAACCGCAGTCGAGTTAATTCACTCGCACTTTTTCTCTTTTTTTCCCTGTAAAGTTTTCACGCGCAGAAGAACAAGGCGATGGACCTCAGATAATGCTTTCAACTCGATCAACTACACGTTTGCAGTTCTAGTCCGCCAAAGGCGGTTATTCGATATGGCTTAATAAGTTTTTGTTCACCCCTTAGTCGACTACATCAAAAGCTAAAACAACAACTTTGATTGATCACCCGGAGATATCTTCCAACGCCCGTCTGCCCTGGACAAACTTAACGCCGTGTTCCTACTTGGGGAAGCAATGTAACTCTCGACTTCGACTACTACTATTAAAAGAAAGATGAGATGAACTCGCGCTGTAATCAACGACAGTTTCATAAACCAAAAACAACTATTCTATCATCTCCTGATTCAGAGAATAATCTTCTCTGAAGGCTGAATGAAAGTTCTCTAGAAAATTTTTCACTCATCTGGCCAAGGGCTTCCCATCTCATTTTCTCATCCGCTGAAATTAATTATTCTTTCTTCTCTCAAAATTTATCGTTTGTGTACTAAAGTTCAGCTTTTTTGCACTGTCTTCGCACCAACCGTGGCGTAGGAGTCCAGTCCATCGTCAGATTCCCCGGCGTGCCATCGAACCAGACCGCCCAGCATACTCCGGCAGGCGCTTCCAGAGCCTGCCACAGGTCGAAAAATCTTTCAGTTCGTTCAAAGTTCCAAAAAAGAAAAAAATGAAACATGGTTCCTTTACAAAAAATCGCTGAGAATTGTTTGAAGATTCCTTCTTTCTTTTCAACTCAGTTATCTTGATTTTACGCAAAATTATCAGTTTGTAGAGTTTTTTTCTTTTATTACAGCTAAATTTGTATTTTGCTGTTCTCTCATTTCAATTTTTTTCAATCTATTTATTCCGATCATAAAAAGTTCTCCATCCACAGACTTTTTGACCATATTTTTTTAAACTTTTAACTTGGAAATTGGATTAATTTTTGAAAAATCTCTTGATAAAAACATAGGCTCAAATACGAACCGAGCGGAAATCATACCCAGCCGAGCCATTCGATTCGCCTCGACGTCGTCAAACGAAAAAAGCTCCTGCAAGGCCAACGCAATGGCGCCGAAACCAGCTGCAGATGACGCAAGTCCTGCGCAAGTTGGAAAATTCGTTTCGGATGTGACCTGAATAAAGGAGAATTTCAATATTTACAGGGCGGAAATCACTTTGAAATGCACTCCCACGGATCCATTACTCTCGCTTTCGTTATGGCCACGTTTCCGTCTCTGCCGCAGGGCTTCCTAATAACCGTATACAAATCAAGCGAGGTGAGATTTACCGCAAAAAGACGGGAATATCGTGAACTTTTAGTCAGGTCTTGTAGTTTGCCGTTGACAGAGACTTCGTGCTCCGAAGCTCCTTTGAGGACAGTAACAGTAGTTCTTGCAAACAGAGCATCGACAGTCAACGACACCGAGTCGTTCAAGGGCAAAATCAACTCCTGGAATGGAGTTCATTGTAGTGCTCGTTCAGATTTTGCTTGCTTTCTTTTCAGAAGCACGCTTTCTCAGGCAGTTTTTATATTTTTTGTATCTTCAAGCATTATCAGTAGAAAGAATAATAGGGTTACGTTATAAAAAAAACGCAAAGCAAGAGAAAAGTCCTGGGGCTTCAAAACCACGAGAAAAAGTTTCGAACCAGTTATCCCCCGATTTTCTCAACCACAAATCTGAAAGTTCCGTTCCAAGAATGTACCTCGTCTCTTTTTCCCCAATACTTGATGAGCGCAATATTTATCGGCACTTCCACCGTCACTGAATTTTTCTCCATTAGCATCGCCAAAACTACCGCAGCATGCAGTTCGACGTTCTGAACGGAGAGTGTCAGAATATTATCAAACAAATAGAAGTAAAACAAGGAAAAGTTTTCCATAAGTTTCCAAGATTCGCGGTAAACCATAGAAATTTTTACTAAGCATCACTGTGTAACATCACTGTAGTTGTATACAAGGGGTGAGGTTTCGCTATAGGAGAGAAAGGAAAATTACACGTACACAATTTTTAATAAAATCTATAAAGAGGAAATCCGAAGAGACTAGAAAAAGAGGATAAATCGATTTGCATAGAACGCTATAATTAGTTCCATTTTCCAGTACTTGGAGGCGTATTGCACAAGAAAACGAAGAACTGGGCGAAAAAAAAAGAAAGAGAATGAGATTATTCGTCGTCCATGGAGGTCCGTCGAAGGACGGGGACGGGGAAGCCGTGTTTCGAGTCCTTGGCCGGCCATTCGTAAGTCTTGTTGATCAGTTCGTCGTACTCGACCGAGTAGAGCTGCTGTCGGACAAACATTTCCTGCAAAGAAAAGGCGATAAGAAGGGGAAAATTGCACCGAGAAGAAGAAATCTGCGTCTCTTCAGGTCGCCGCTGATCTCTCGCAAACTAACTTCAAGAGACCATTTTTAGAGGGACTCTTGAATAATTCTTTCCGGATCACTAAAGCGCAACAAAAAACATTTTCAACAATTTTAGTTAGAAAAAACTGGCAGAGGAAAAATAAGAAAATTGGCGTTAAGAAACGTTCTAGGAATGATGAAATTGGAAATAAAGAACCAAAAAACGAAAGATCAACGGACCATGTCTTCCGGTTTCGGGTGCAACGTTGACAAATTGTGATCGTAGCAATAATGGCCGACCTGTAAAAGAGAGATAACGATCAATGGCATTATTTTTGATTTGATGAAGTTTTGTAAATTTAATTCTCTTCCAAAAATCTATGAGACCGATTAATAATTCAGTCAAAAATTTCAATGGGAATTTAATCAATTGAGTGTCTGGCCAATCCATCCGATTCAACAATGTCGAATACGAAAAAGACAAACCTCGATGGCGATCTTGACAGAAAGTTCCCGAATGTCCTTCAAGCGAGGATAAACTCGGGAGAAAGTATAAAGCGACTTCTCAGAAACGTTCTCGGCGACCATCTGGAAGCACATACTTTATGCTCACAAAATAGTAGAGACGGACTCGGGCGGCGAGAAGGAAAAGCTTGTCTGGAATGTGTTTGACGCGGAAAAGGACGGCTCCGAGGGCGACGCCCGGGAAGATGTAGGCGTTGTTGCCTTGGCCAGGCTTGAAGGTACGGCCGTCCATCTCGACGTCGTCGAAAGGAGAGCCGGAGGCGAACAGAGCCGTGCCCTGCATATACACTTTTTGCAAGCCACATCATGTCTTTGATTTCTTCTAACTAGCGACCTTTGAAGCCCCCGGTTGAACATCTATTTGCTGATGTCACGCATTTCGAGGCAAACGGTGGGCGGGTAAATATTACGCCATCAGTTTCGGAGACAGGAAGTCATTCAAATGTCTTTTCTTTTTTGGAGCTCTGCCTACTTTCTGCGAACGATTTCAGAGTTTGAATGCATACATTGGTGGCGCGATACGCGGCTTCTGCAGTGCATTCGGCTTTGCTCGTCGGGTTCGACAGGGCGAAGATGATAGGCCGCGGATTGATCAGTGACATCTCCTTCAGGATCTCTTCGGTGAACGCGCCAGCCACCGTCGACGCGCCTTGAATCGAAGGAATTTGATGGGACTTTCAAGAAATGGATGAAAACCAATCAGAGCGCCTGGACGAACTGTTTTGACAATCTCCAAAAGGTTTTTCGTGTCCGGCAGGTCCTGAAAAACTGTATGAACCATGGAAAACGAAAAGCGATGGGGTTTGAACGAAAAAAGTAAATAAAGTCAATTTGTTGAATACATTTTTTCGAACAACCTTCGCAAATTTGACGTGTCTTTCTCCCAAGGTGGCGGAGCGAGATTTTGTGATCAAACCATCGATGTCCACCATATAAATACGGTCACAAGCGTCCTTCAAACAGAAAAACTTTATGAAATGAAGAAGATTTTTCATAAAAAGGGTCTTCCCTCGTTAGCAAGAGGTTTTTAATACTTCATAGGGGGAGAAAAACAACAGGACTCAAATCATAGTTATGAAAAATTGAGAAGTGAAGTCACTATCACATAATTTCAAAAAAAAAAAACACCAACTTTCTCGCTAAGACCTTCGTCGACCATTTGCCGAACGCACATCTCAGCAACGCCAGTAGCCGCCTGAACACTTTTTTTCCTTATCTTCTGTTGTCAATAGGACTTTTCAACGGACTTTAATATTTTCTCTCAACCAAGGGTTTATTTTCTGTAACGGAGGAAACTACTGGACTTTAATAATAAAAAACGAACACCGCCAGCTCCGAAAAAGACAATTTTATCCTGCGACAACTTCTTTTTGGTGATTCTCGTGCTGGCCAGCAGCCCAGCCACCACTACGGCTGCCGTTCCTGAAAGACGACGTTCAAATAATTGCAGTCGTTATCCGGCACCTTGGATGTCGTCGTTGAACATACAGTACTTGCCCTTGTAGCGATCCAACAATCGGTAGGCGTTCGAGTTGCCGAAATCTTCGAACTGGATCAGGGTGTCTTGTCCGAATCTGCAAAAAGAGAGAGAGATCTTGAATTTTCGAAGATAATTAACTTTCTAACAACTTCAATTACTTTGTGCAAAAAGTTTCTTTATTGAATTCATCCAGAAGATGTTACCCTGATTAAAAAAGAAAGTTTAATAAAGTTTTTTTTCAACGCAATAATCGTATGAAGAGAGTCTTATCTCATACACAAAATCGCAATAAAGAAACAAAAACCGTTTTGTGGCGGCTTTCATAAAGTTGTCGACAAGTGTGTCGTACTCTTGGCCACGGACGCGCTTCCGACGGAGTCCCGTGTAAAATGGATCGTTTAGAAGCTCCTAAAACTGAAAATGAGATAAAATGCTACTCAAAGCGCAGAGGTGAAGGAATTTAACTTTCTTTGTCAGACAAACTTATTTTTGGATTTTATGCCTTTTTAATCAGAAAAACACTTAACAAAAAAACGATTTTTTTAGATATCAGTTATGGTGAAATCCTTGTAGCACCATTGCTAGAACTATATTAACTACAAAACTATCAATTTTCCGTTTTTTTTTTTGGAACTGAGCTCCGTTAGAAGAAAAGCTGAAATCATTTTAAACCATTTGTAAAACGAAAAAGACGGGTTCTACAATTAAAAAAACTACAGAAATCCCAGTGAAAACATGATTTCGCCTCTAACTGCACCTACATTGTTGTCGGTTCCAACGTCGAGAATGACTGGAAGACACCAATCCGGTTGGATACCAGCCAACGCCACGTACAGGGCCAATTTTCCAACAGGAATTCCGATGCCATAGGTTCCCAAGTCGCCGAGTCCCAGGATTCGTTCGCCATCAGTCACGACGATCGCCTGAAGGCTTAAGGAATTCTGAACGCCCTATCAAGTACTTAATAGAGCTCATTTTGAAATCAGATCATATTCGGGAAGTTTTTAAGCTTTGCAATTATCATAGCAAAGGACTTTATTCTAAAGTGCTAAAGTTAAACAAAACAAAGTTTCCTCAACAACAAGAAAAAAAGAAATTTCTGCTAGCATCAAAAGTATTTTGAAGAAGAAAAAAAAAGAGTAAGAAACTTTTGATCACTTTTGAGAAATTAAAGGAAACTGGTGCCACCTTTTGACATTTTGCCCGGGAATGGAATGCGAAAAATTATTAAAAAAGACCGGGCATGGGCCACAATCTGAAAATGAAAATATCAAAGAAACCTTTCAGCTTTGCACGTTTTCTTCCATGAAAAAACAAAAAACTCTTCAAAAATGCTTTTTTGCAACTCTGGAACCCACTCTGATGTCCGTCGTGTGCCAATTGGCGAGAATCTGATGGATTTTGCTGATGCTGTTGTCGTTGATGGTGATGTACAGTCCCCTGAAAGTTTGATTCAAAACAACGATCAGATACAGGTGAAACTTTGGATTTCTGTAGATGAACCCAAACTTCTGGCAAGCATGACCAACAGTTGGCGTATAGACGATTGGCATAAGCTCCTAACATTGGGAATAAGCAAAAAAACACGGGAAAAGGAGCAACCTTGACATTGTCCGTGAGCACGCGGTAGAAAAGCTTCTCGTTACGATCCTGAAGACTGTCCAGTTGGATATACCTGTAATCAACTTTTTTCGAAAAAAAAAACAGCAGGTTGTGTTGTGCCTAATTTTTGACCATACAGCACAGTGAGAAAAGATACGAATCAATTTCCGCTCCCAATCAATTTGTATAAAGCTCAATCTTTTTGAAAATTTCTTAAAAGCAAATTTATCGTATGATGGGATGGAACAAAACAAGCTTTGAAATGTTCCTTAAGCTGCTGATTTCTTAATTGCTTGTTACCGTTTTGCAAACTGTCATTGAATGTAGGAATAATGTTATTTTTAGTTTATCAGAACGAGATCAAAGTCCTTGAGGAGCTATATTCGGTCGCTGGGGAAAGAAACATTTCATTGATAAGTTACAAGATCAAGACAAACTTAGCAAGATTGTCCGGCTGCTGGCGGAGTTTGGTCATGATCCTGTAGGCCTGTTGCTCCTCGGTCATGAAGGCTGGCGGCAAAAGACCGTGGATCCCGAGATACTGACGTTCGTTCAAAGAGAACGCCATTCCCTTCAAATAAATAGGAAGAATGAGGGTAGACATTTTTCTTATATCTGCGAAGAGAAAAAGATCGCCCTAATAGAGAGGTCTTTGTAGCTGACCGTTTAAAGTTCTACCAACTTTTGCCAAAAAAAAAAACTTTGAGATTCAGATGAACATTTCTAATAGTCTTCCTCTGCACAACTTCTAAATTTGGAGAAACGAGTTTTCGCGTTCAACCTGGCTTGGAACAAATATTTCTGAATTGTGAAAAAAAAAATAACTTAAATTTTTACTGATGTCTAGGAATTACAACTTGGGTCCATCATCGCGGATCTTTACGTGGACTTTCGATGAATTTTTGAGCCAGTTCATAGGAAATTCTAAATTTCACATTCAAACAGCTCAATTGTGAAACATCATTTCCGTGTCAAAGATTATTTCTGTGTTTTTGATGAAAAAGTCATCAATTACATCTCAAAATTGCAAAAATCATATTTCAACAAAAAATCTAGGCAACACGGAGGAAAAAGGAACCTTGTTGAGCCTCGGAGTTTTGAGCAGTTCGATGCCTCTTTTGGAAGGCGTCGTCCTCTCGGGCCGGTAGAGCTTGTGCAAGGCGAGCGTGTCGGGATCCGTGAGATCCGGATCATATTTTCCGGCAAAAGAGGCTCGAGCTGTCGTTGACACTCCGCGCAAGCTCAAAAACCAATTTTCATTTGAATAAAAAAAAAGAGGGGTGGCAGTTTCTTGAAAATTTTCAAGTCAAAAATCATGCTGAAGCCTGTTCGGAAATCTATGGAGTCACAGGCAAATCGAGAGAGTACCATAATGTGTCCACAAAGGTACCTCTAAAAATGGACCGTGAAGACTTCATAACGTGTCCATCGGGAGACCTCCGGTATACCTTTTAGCTATATCTGAGCCCTCTCGGAGATACTTGAGAGTCTTCTTCAAGTCATTCCTATTTTGCTTAAAGTCCTGAGAAGTAGACTCGAGGTACCATCGTGAGACTTCAGAGCCTGCGATATACCTCAGAGGGTCTCGCGATACCTTTCTCGATTCGCCTATGTTGGTTGAGCAGAAGCAACTTTCAAAAAAAATTATCAAGACGAGAAGCCGTTCTTTGTTTCAAACATTTGTTTAAATATCATCAATCATCAATATTTATTGGTTGTTTTAGTCAGATAGAATCGAATATGCAAGATCCGTGTAACTTTTTCAACTTTGAGAATTCTTTGCTGAATGAAGATGCCCTTAAACTGTTTTATAAACACAACGAGAAAACTTTTTGCAGTTTTCAAGAAACGAAAAAGCCCCTTTGTCATTAATTTGAAATCAACTCTCTCAACCAATTTATTTTTTTTCCTACCCTGAGCAAAATGAAAAAAGGCTTGTATTTGAAAAAAACCAATGAAAACCTATGATTGTTGAGACGACTCAGCATCTTGAGAAGTTCGCTGATAAGATGCCGATCTTTTTCCCAGCCACGCTCAAAATTTCCTTTTCTGATATGGAGGGAGCGTGGGAGATTAGTTCAAAAGCGCGAAAATAGACCGTTATGCCAAATTGAACAAAAAAGGAAAGGAAATACCAGAAGATTAAATCTACGAAAACAGATCTTTGATTTTTAACGTATTGTGAAAAACGGTTCTACCCAATTACACATCAGCGCAAAGGCTGCCTTTATTTTCAGCAAACAACAACGAAAAGAAGTGTATTGATTTTGGAGGCGTTCCTGAAAAGCTCCCAGTTTTTCATTGAATGTGAAAAAAGAAGCACAATGAGCCGAAAATAAGAAATAAAAAGTAACTTCCCGTAATTAAAAAAAGAAACAAATTTCGCCATTCTACCAATTTAAGATATAATCAAAAAAATATGGACGCCCGACGCTTTTTTTCACAAAGTTAGTTTCAAACAGAAATCAATCCTTCTCAAATTTATCAAGCGAAAAACCAAAATAAATAATTTTTTTAATTTTTTTAAAATGGAATTTGAAAAAAATCTCAAGAAGATTTGATTCAATAATTTTTTTCGAAGAGGTTCATGTAATTTTTTTCGCAAAGCCCACTTTTTACACAAACATCTTTTTTTCGGTCGCCTCCAAAACTTATCTTCCGGAACTTTTCGATAAAAAAATCAAGTTCATATGGGGACATTTTTTTATTCAAATAAACCAATTTCGGCTAGGAACCATGTAATTTCTTCGAAGTGGACGTTTCTTATTTTTCAAAAATAAATTTGAAGTTTTTGAATACTTTATAAGCATTAAAACACAAAGCAGTACAAAACCGGGGACTTTTTTGTAGGATAGTTGAGACAAAATACTATACAGCGGGTTAAAAAAAATATAAAAGCACGAAAGGAAACTGTTAATTAGGAAACCTAAAAAGTCTAGAATACTAAGAATTACACTCATGAGATCTTATAAAATTTTCCATTGTTTGCTGCATTGCAGCGTTAAAAAATAAACAAGCACAATACTCACTATTAGTATTTTGAAAAAATTGAGCCTATCAATCAGAAAAAGAATGAGAAATCGAACAGGGAGTAACTATACAGGAAATAAAAGGTGTAAAATTTCACAAAATCGGTAACAACTCTTATCTCATCGATGCGACGCTATATTTTACAGAAGAAATGACTAGAAAATTAATTAGAGGGAAATCAACTGGAAGAGAGAATTCGACGCATTTGCGGAGAAATGTCGTCGTTGGTCGAGAATAACTTTGAGCGGCAAAACGAATTGACAGTGCCGTTAGAAAAGCGAACCTGGAAAAGTAAAAAGATTTTTCAAACTTTTTTTTCGCAAAAATAAAAAGGAACCTTATAATCTTTGGTGGAACAAATGCCGCGGAAAAACCCATCATACAGTGTATTTTCTTCCCATTGCACTTTCAGCTGAACGAAATAGATAGTTATTTGAATTTATCACAAATATTCAGAATACCTTGCTGCCTAGCTGATGTTGAACCTTATCACACTGGATGCAATCGCAACTGATAATGTCGGTGAGGCTCAAGTCTCGGGTTATTGAGCCGTCACAAAACTCGACCTAAAAAAATAAAATGTGAAAGTAAAATTCACCTAATTTTTCATAGATTGAATCTTCAAATTCTGGTCAAAATAAAGAAGATTTTCATAGTGATCGCAAAGTTGAGAGCTCACTCAGACAACGTTAACGCTTGCCGAAAACTTTAGTCTGTTCAGATTTTAATATTCAAGTAAAATGACGTCATTCAGAAAGGCTATATAGGTGGCTCGCTTTCTAATTGGTTTACCCCACCATTAGAGGCGGAGCTTGAGCGACGACTTGATATTCAAAATCTTAATACACTATATTTGCCGTGAATCGAAAGTTTGAGCGATAAAGTAATCACTCGAGTGGCTTTGCGCCTCTTTACTGTTCTCTTAAACTTACAGCTTCGTCCCGTTATAAGTTTCTGAGGACTAATAGTAAAAGATAGGTTGGAAAAAAAAAATTTCAGAGATTTTTCTCGCATTCGTCTACTCGAAATCTCATGAAAGGGACAATTCATGGAAATAGAAAAAAAAGAATCGAGATTGGTGCTTACCACGGCGTTATGCTTCACTATAACGCTCAGCACAGAGCAACGCTCTAACGAAGCTCCTTCGCTGTAGAGAACCTCTTCTCCGGGTTTGATCGGCGATAAATTGTCAGCTGGAAGTTTCAATAGTTACGAAAATCGAAAAAGCCTCACAATCAATCGAGTTGAGGTTTTTGTGCCGATCGCACACCATCACGGCGACTTTTGGGAAATCTCTCTGCTCCAGGAAAAATCCAACCTGTCGAGCACAAGTCACGTGGGCCAAAGTTGGCACTTGGAACGCCTCTAGCAGCTGAGCTTCCTAAAAAATCCCCTTTTCAACCAATTTCACTTCAATAATTGATCTCTTAAAATCGTTTTTCACAATATCAAAAAACTTTGAACAGCACTTTTGCGAGAACTTCGAATAAGAAGCAGAATTTCAAATCTTGTCTGAATTACTCTTTTCCGTCCAGAAATGAAATAAGAGACCTCGAAGCAATTGGTGCAAGGGATGAGTCCTTCTCGGCTGGTTCGACACACTTCGCACTCAAATTTGGCTCGTTCGTGCTCTTTCCCATATTCCATGACGTAGTGAAGTGGTAGTTGGGTTCTGGATAGTAAAATCATTTCAAAAGTTATGACAAGGAAATATACATGAAAATTTTGAAAACTATTACACTGAAAAAAAGAGAAACCCACTGTGGATTTTTTTCCGAAAAATGGATAATCCTGATAACTAATGAAAAAAAAAACCTCGGAGTAAGATTTCCTTGTTTGGGCGGCGGATATACAAAGCAGGACTTGGGACAGCTGCCTTGGTCGAAATAAGTCAACCTGAAAAGCAGAAAACTTATAAATAAAGAGTCAATAGAAATACCTGTTGAAAATCGCACAAATGACGTGAGCGAAGCCGCGGTCGCTTCCTACAGTGCAGGGGATAAAGGCGCCGGCCCGCATTTCACAGAAAGCGCAGGAAGTGGCTCGAATGGCGACGTCGCTCCTGGCACGACATCTCATACACAGCCATTTTGCGCCTGAAACTAGAAAAAACTATCATTTCGTTGCAAAAATGGATATCGTCGTCCATCTTTTCAGCTTGAACCTCAAGTATTTTCTTTTGGGCAGTATGCAGCTGGATGAGCAAGAAAACTGTCAAGAAACTCTCCGAAAGAGATGATTTTCTACTGTAGATAATCTTTCTCAACTGGCTTTTATACTTAAGATAGTCATTTTTTAGAATCACATCAAAAACGAGATAATTTTTTTTTCAAATCACTAGGCCAATATTTTTCATGATAGAGTTTTCGAATTGGAAAAACAGTAACTGTTCTTGGGACGTTGTCCGTTGTAACATCTCGGATGTACAGTAACCCGGCAATTTTCACAAGTGATCAAGACATCTTCTGTGGGTTCCTCTCCGTCGGCAACAACTTTGTTTCTTTTGGAGAAACACAAGTCCTTCATCAGCCGTTTGGAACTGAAAACATCCGCATTTTCATTAAAAACTTGCATCATTCGAAACCTGGAAGGGCATTGGTTTGTTCGAGGCCGCATATGGATTGGCTGGAAGTAAGAGCAGACTGCGCAATGGGGCCAAAATTGTGAAGACGTTTCGTTGTACTTTTTTTCGGTAAACAAGTTGTACGGTGTAAAGGCGTGTAAATCTCCTAGAAATTCGGCGCTAATTTTATTATTTTTAGAAAGAAACCCACCAAACTTTTGAAAATTCTGTCGCAAAAGATCAGAATCCGGCTCAAAATCAATGGAACAGGTGAGATCGTAATTAGAAAAAGCGTCGTTGGCGACAAGAGAAGAGCTGCTGGAAGTGGAGGCTAACGACTCGGGGAATAGCGTTTCGTCGGAATCCTGTGACGACGGAGTGCCAGATGATGAATAGTCTGAAAGAATCGAGAAATAACTCCGGAAAAGATCTGCAATCAGTGAATCTGGCACAAGTTGGACATGACACTATATTCGACACATGAACTGATCCGGGAAGCAACTTGGCTTAGAAATGAGGTATTAATTAAAAGTGGAAAATCGAAAAAAAAAACAATGACAGGTGAAATCACTCTCAAAACTTTAGAATTCAGAAATTTTTTCAAATATTCTGGGGTGTAATAGGTATGATACCAAATGTCGCCAGAAAAGAACGCTCCGAATTTTGTGATTTCATTGTAAAAGTGCTGAAAAATCGAATTTGAGATCTAGTGAATTTTCGGGTTTTTAGAATATCGATGAGTAATTAAGCCGATTCCCAGAAAACATTACAGTTGCCAGTGAAAATGCTTCTTTTGCGTGAATAAAGCATTGAAGTAAACTCAAATTTTGTATTTGATGTAAATTCCTACTCATACGTTGGCTGGATCCCACCCCGGGGTGAGGCCTATCCCCCGAAAATGTGGCCTATTTCAGTGAATATTAAAGTTTTTTCGCGCGCAAAAGGCTGGGGTGAGATCCAGCTGATGAATGGTTCTACTTCGATTGAACAAAAGGACACAGCTCTATAGGAGGAAGTTTTCGAGGTGAAAAGAAGGACTGGGCGTAAAAATAAAAAGAAATAACAGGAAGGCGACGACGCTCTGAGAAAAAAAAAGCAAAAATTAGAACACTGACAAGTGGAGGCAGGTAGGGATCTTTCGAACGAAAATGAGTTTGTCAAAAAATATATGGTCCCGACCATGCCGTGGCGAAAAGTTGCAAAGTGCAAGTGAGAAAAAAAAAGAGGAAATTTGGACGAACATCGAAATCGGTTCGCCGGTCCACAGACACATGCTCAAACGAACGATCGTCGTGCCCACTTGCAACCTTGACGAGAGAATCCTGCTCACCCGTTTGAGGCGCCGACCGCGTTAACTCTCTTCTCCTTCTCTTCGAGACTATTTCCCGACCCATACTTTCCAGCTCTTTCTTCGGGATCTTACGCTTTTGTATTGCTGCAACACTCGCTTTTAAACCATTATATTCAAATTATTCACCGCTAGCTTGAGCCAACATTTTGAAGACCAGTAGAGTACGAAAAAAAGTTTAGACGAACATGAACTCCGAAAAAATTCTTTTTGAAATGAAATGTTTTCATCCAAAAAAAAAATGAATGATCAAAAAAAAGTCAAATAAAAAGACAAAAAAAGCTTCTAACGTTCTAAAATAGCACATAAACGAAGGAAGTTTTTCTCCGCGCGAGCGTGAAGTAAAAAAACCTGAAGTGTCCTTTGTTCTATTTTTCTTTAACCTAGCTAGTCAAAAGCTTTTTTTATATCAACCTATTTTTAAATAAAAAAACTTTTCGATTTCGTAAATTTATTGTTTTTGTAAATTTCCCATTTTATACTGTTAATTTGCTTTTTCTCCAAGCAAGCGATGAATAAAAATGATCTTAGAAACTCAAAAGTGAATCCAAAGAAATAAATACATTTCTTCCTCTCTGAATCGACAACGGCCACAGTTCGCGGCTCATACCAATAGTTGTACCACTGTTCGTATTCGTCGGGACGATATTTTTTCATAAAAGGCTGCAAAAATGAGAAACTCCTCACTGAAAACGATTCAAATCACACCCTCATATCGATCTCCACTCTATCCGGCCTACAGTTGCACAGCGGCGCGTTTTTCCCAAAATCAATCCATCGGTCCATAGCGAAATTGGTTGACTCGGCAATGTTATAACCCGTATTGAAACCCATGTGATAGCCCTGAAAGTCCTATTTTCCAAGTTTGCAGCCCAAAAAAACCTTGGGAAACGTGATAATGAACTCATTTGGACGTTGAATCATGGTCCCATATGGGATATTATGAGCTCGCAGTAATGATGGAGTTATGATGAAGTGTTTGTGACGCAAAAAAGCCTGGAAAAAAAAATTTAAAAAAAAATGGATAATCGAATAGTCCTTACATTGCAAGAAGAGTTGTATTCTGGAAAGAGTTGGATCATAAGTCGTTCGAATCGATCGGCAGACTCCGAAGAAATCGCGAACCAATACTAAACTTCACGTAATAAAAAAAAGTCATACGACAAGAAAAATTAGCATGTTCATCAACTCGTTTATTACTGTAATCTTTATTAAATTCCAAAAAGACCGTCAAACAGAAAGCAAATGAAAATCCTAATTCGATAATAACTTAATTGAAAAAAATCTTTTTCCTCCAGCCGTTTCCACAGATCAGCTGTTTGATTTATTTGATTGTTTTAATGTTTTATTTTTTTGTATTGTCGTGCAGATTGCGGAATGGCGAACAAAAACATTTGTAAATGAAACAGAAAAAAATCTCTTTTCTGGTCATTTTCTCTATTCTATTTCTATTTTTGGAGTTTTTTTGGAGACGCTAAATTTTTTTCATAAAAAAATAAAATTGAAAAAAAGCTAGTCGTATTCAAAAAAATTAAGGAAATCAGTATATTTTTCTCTGAAAATTCCAAAAAAACAATCTAGGATCAGATTGTGACTACCAAACTTATGATTTAATAAAACAATTTAAAGTTACCTTCGGCGCGCCATGGTGCAAATAATTGATAGAATAAAGGTCCATGTCTTCGGCATGCCATGGAAAAAGTCGTTTTGTACATTCCAAAGTACAGGTAAACTGTATTGACACCTTTTATAACCTTCAAAGAGAAAATGAAAAATTATAAAATTTTAAGCAAACAAAAAACCTTCCCGTCGATTTTTGTGTCGTCCAGGATCGTTTTCAATCGGTTCATATTAAACTCGTCGACATTTTCTTCGTAAATGCTGCCTTCTGTGTCAGCCCCGTAAATTGGCTCTCCAAAGTTGATGTTTTTGAAAAATTCTCTGGAAATTTCTTCTGAATGAGCTATCATGTGTAAGTTTTGCCGCAATAAAAACCTAAAAAAAAGTTTAACAGAAAAAAAGAAAGTAAGTCATATTTGACATGGCTTTTTAAATGAAGTAATAAAAAATCCCAGGAAAACATTCTTTTTGCGACGCCTTGTCTAGTGCCAAATTAGCAATCTCTTCTTCCATTGAACGCGAAAGTAAATTTTGAAATTTAATTTAATTTGATACGAAACTTACGTTTCTAAGTCGATTCCACTGAGATGGGGCTTGGGATTTTTGAAGGTCGCCGATTGTGCCAACTTTCTAAAGTCGCGCACGGTCATTTTCTTTCTGTACACACGATTCTGCTTCATAAAAACGCCAGAGCGGCCTTCAATAGTCTCCTTGACGGGGCTGCAAATGACTTTTTTCTGATTTGAAAAAAAAAACAAGATGAAATTACCTATTTATTTCAAAATCTTCAAGATCAGAAAAACTATTTCCTAGCGTCGGTCTGGGCGTCCAACCTTCCGGCGGTACAATCTGAAATTTATTTCTCTAAAGAAAGCAAACAACCACTTCAAACTTTGCATATTCCGCATTTAGTGTGAGCACCGACCGACTCAATTTTCTTCACGTAACCAACAAAATCTCGAAATTCTTCTAATGTGGGATAAAAAGTCAACACTTCTGTTGTGCCAGTTGGTTCATGTGGCGGATGGTCGCGCCTATCAACGGTGTTGGTTCGACCATCGGAATAAACTGGTAGCTGTCTGAAAAACAGTTCCTATCTCAATTTCAACTTATTCTTCAAAAAGTTTCATACCAAAGAAATCAGCATTTACTGTTTTATGGTTCTTAAAAACATTGGTGCCAACCAAATCATTTTCAGTTCTATTTATGGTGAACTCAATCGAAAAACCAAAGACAAAGCCTCACTTCATTCCTACCATTAGAACTGACCCCATTTCAGGTATGAGTGGTCCCGAACAGAACATATCCAGATTGATCTCGGCATTCGTAGAAGTTTTGGGGGAAACGATCAGCATTCCAGTTTCATATTGAGTAGAATCTTGAAAAAACAGAATGCAATTTTCATTATAGCCAGTGCACGAAATTCATGATAGGTTTAAATGGCCGTTTCAAAATGTGTTCAATTTCAGTTCCGATTCCTAGGAGCTGGTTTCGTTTCATAAATTTAAAAAAATTAAAAGTGAATAAGAACTAATGTCTTTGAAAAAGAAAACTACAAACCTCGCATATTATTTTTTTCGTTGTCGGACACATTTCCAGCAAATGACCCCCTTTCGACATTCTAATTGGTATATATTTTTTTCTTTCACATGAAGATTGATTTATGGAATGAAGGAGCCTGAAACAAATAAAATGCAAGAAAAATCTCATTTTTTACCTAAAAATTTAGAAAACGTTAATGATCATATAGTGACGGAAAAAGTAACTTATCCTTTTAATCAAACTGAAAGATGAACAAGTAGTATTAAAATGAGCGACATTGATAAAAAAAAATAAAAACAAGACATGACAGCATTATATACGATAATAATAAAGAGCTCAATCGCAAGATGAGAATAATAAACTGTGCTTCTCGTTAACATACTAGCTTCCTCTGTATAGTTAAAATGAATTTTCTGATGTGTTTCGCTATGGGAAACCTTTTCAAAAGTGGCAAAACGAATATTTCGAAACATAATTTGCGATCGAAAGACAAAAATGTAGAACGGAGGCTTTAAAAAAATTCCTAAAAATCACGTACAACAGGACTTCCTCGAAAAGCGTGCACGCTTTGCTTGACAAAGTGCAGCCGTTTTTAATGGAAAGTTGAATAGGATTTTACGAGGGATCGGTTTTTTACACTTTTCAAAGCGAAGTCATCGTTGAATATGATTGAGATAAAAAAGGAAAAAATTTCCACTCGAGTTCTTTCGTTTTAAGCTGAGGAATTCTTATGAATTCTTATGGAAACAAATTCTTCGCGTTAAAAGTGACTTAGGGAGTTAAAATCAACCTAGCAAGTAGCTCCTCGAGGATTTGACGTCACTTCAGAAAACTTTCAATTTCTCATTTGCAACTACGCGATAGCACTTTGAAAGCGGAATAATTTTGCGTGGTTCCCGAGTCTGCAGAAACACCATTCAATTAATAAAGATATTGAAGTGAAGAACTTTTTATGATGTTATCTTAGATCGGACCAAACTTCTGAGACTTGGATTTTACAATTAAGAACCTCATAATATGTTTCCTTCATGTTTCTTTTCTTCTTTGCTACTCTTCAACCTTTGGTATCTCGTCTTCCATCAAAACCTAACAGCAGGAGGCGACGCTGCCGTGGTGTGAAGAGACGCGCGGGTCATATACCGTTGGCGCCTATTCTATTCGCGCCAAAAAGACTGGGCAACGTTCCAAGATTGTCTGAGGCTACATAAAGAGGCTGTGGTCGCAACGCTCAGCACACGATGCGCGTTGGACGCGAATTCACCATCCGCTGTTGTGTGATGCCTATCGATCGCGCTGGCGACCACGAGGGACACTCTTTGCAGTCGCGCTCACACACACTCTCCACACGCAGCAGCGCTGCTGGCCTGCTGAGCGCGTGAGGCAAGGCTGTACACAAAGAGTTTGAGAAATGTATAAGATCAACGGTTTCTATATCACAAAAAGTTTCTGTTTCTTCCTTCTGGCGTTCGAAGATGAGTCGATAAAAAAGTTAAAATTTTCAAAATCAAGGATATTTCAGCCCCAACAACGTAGGCAAACAAAAACCTCTCACTTTGAAAAATGTTTATAATAATCAAGAGCGCCTCTTCTTTAACAAAAAAAGTTCTAGGTTTTTCTAAGTAATCCCTGTTCATAAAGATTAAATTTAAAACTATAAATTTATACCAATATTTGGGCTGTTCGAAGTACAGTCTCAGCTTCAGCGTGATCCCTTTATATCGGAAATCTTTTGATAATAGACGAGGAAAATTTTTATATTCTAAAACCTTCGCTTCTCACTGAAAAAAAAAATACTTTAAATGTCACAATTTTGGGATAAATAAAGGAAACAACTCGAAAAGGCGTTTTATTAGCAATTATTTTTCAAATTAAAAAATCTGAAAGAAAAAGGATTTAATTGGATCTAAATGATATAGGGTTTTGACAAATGGTAAAGAAAAACAAAAGGGTGAACTATTTGACTGATCAATTTAAGATTTCAAAGTATATATTATATGAGTTTCCTTTTTTTCAGTTCCTAGTCCTTTTTTGTAACTAAATCACGTGAGAGGCCCAATTAGAGTTACGGCTGATAAATTTTTTTGAAAAAAATCTGTCACTCCTATAAAAAATATACTTTCAGTTTAAGATTCATTAGAAACGCCGAATCAGAAAACAGAGTGCTGGCAGAAAAAAATTCGATGGTAACGCCGTGAAAAGGTGTCAAAAGTATCACAAAGACAAGTGTAATCTTAGTAAGTTTATTGATGAGTAACAAGATCTTGAAGATATTTTTAAAAAAACGGAAGGAAAAGAATAATAACGATTAGAGAAAGAAAAGTTAAATAGATCGAAATGGAACGCAGCCATCCGAGATGTTTTCAAACTCGCGCGCTTTTCTAAAACGCCCGAAACCGTCTTTCTTTCAATATCTATTTTTAATTATTTTCCATTTTATATTTTGTATTCTATATAAGTATGCTAGATTGAAGTCAATTCGTCTTTTTCACTCTCATACCTCTGAGCTGCCCACATTCACTTGGCGCTCAAGCCATTCCTCTCAATGGTCGCCGCCTTAGACGCGTACGCAGTCGCAGCGCGATGCGGCTCGGCGTCCCCCCATCACTTGCCTCGTCCACAGGCACCGCCCCTACTCATTCGCTTGCCTCGCTTTCGTCCGCTTCGGTTGCTTCCATTTCTTTCTTTCCCTTTGCTTAAATTTTGTCGTGGATTTTTGTTTCTTATGTAACTATTACTTTATTTAACTTGATCCTTTCAGACAAGAAAATGGCCAAGGGAGCTGTTGCCAAAACCAAGAAGGCTGCTTCGCCTGTCAAGAAAGTCGCGAAGAAAGGAGGAAAGGCAAAGGTTTTCTAAAATCTCATCAGTTTGTATAATTCGTTCCTGTTCTAGGACCCGAACGCTCCTAAGAGAGCCATGTCCGCTTTCTTCTTCTGGATGCAAGAGAACCGCGAGCGCATCAAGAAGCCAGGAATGGGAGTCGCTGACGTCGCCAAGGCTGCTGGTGTCGAGTGGGGAAAACTGTCCGATAAGAGCGTAAGTTTTATTCTGTTAAATTTTAGTTATAAATTGTTAAACATTTGTTTGAGTGCAAGACCAATGTCAGTTTCCCATGTTAGAAAATAATTTTTCAATATTCTATTTTCAGAAATGGGAGAAGAAAGCTTCCGAAGACAAGAAACGGTACGAAGTCGAGATCGCCAGCTACAAGAAGAAGGCCTAAGCTGCAGTCTGAACCTAAACTACGCGTAGCCCCCGTGTTTGCGAACTGATACTCATTCATCTACATTGTACATTTCCTTGTCGGACCTTCCATTGTTATCTCTGTAAAATTTTTGTCTACTATCCGTACTACCATGAAGTACCTCATTGTTTTTTTGATAAAAAAAAAATAACTTAGTAATGGTTGAGAAATTTTGTGAATAAAAGATAATTCAAAACGCCCTGTATGCATGTTAAATACATTCTTTGGATTTGAAACGCGCCTGCGACTGCAGAGGCGATAATTGAGGGTCTGGACTGTGAGCGTGTCTCTTGTGGGCACGCGTGGTTGCGAATGAATAACAGCCTTCGCCGTCTGTTTGTCTGCTGCGTCTGGTCGTTTGAATATCCTTCGTTCGCGGCCAACGAGTCTTGCGCGCGAATGTTCTCTCTCTCTCTTCGCGCTGGGAGAAAGGTTCGGCTTATAGGGAAAATACAGAGGAAGCTTTCCTAGAGGTTCTCAAAAAAATTGAGTTTTTCTCGATATAGTCTGACTTCAAAATAAAGTACGATTGAATCTAATTTATTTTTAACTCACAAAGAAATGTTTTATGATACAAGAATCACTCAAACTGATAAAGTTAGTAAGGAAATCCGCCTCGAATGGCTTCACCTTGAAGATTCATCACGCTTGTGTTGTAAATACTCCTGAAGAATAAATTTAAGATTTTCAAAATCTTTCAACGTACCGCGTAACTCATAACAAACTTGCTGCTTTGAAATCGCACGACTCTTAGGGACATTCGCAGATTTTCATCGACCTTTCCGCGATGACCAGCCTTGGCTATCAACGCATCAATCGTTTCCAAATGATTCCATCCTAGAAAATTACGACATTGACTGCAAGAAAGCGTCATCCGACCGGATAGGCTCCGAAATAAGTGTGTATTCAACCTTGCTCCGCAGCCACTTCTGGCAAAAACACAGCGCTGAGTTGCGAGCGGCCATCGGAGAAGTGAATTCGCACTCCATGCGTCCCAATTGTCCAATCTCGATAATCAAGAGCTGGCTCGAAGTTTATCAGCAACGATACCTCAAAAAACGTTTTTATGAACTCTAGCAGTTCTAGGAATTCCCTGAACGTCAAAGCTTGAGATAGAAAGATAGACAAACTCACTCCGCACGATAGAGATGAAACTTCGTCTTTACGAATAGGCTTGAATCGATGATCTTCGAAAGCGCTCACTTTGGCATAATCGCGTAATCCCTCTTGTAAACTGAATACTCTTGTTTCTTGGTTTTCTTTTTCTACGTTACTTCAACTCGGAAAAAGTGCCGATGCAACCGCGAAGAGTGTTATGTGAGCCAACTTTCCAAGTGACGAACAGTGGCCTATTTCAGAAAATCGTCAGTTATCGGTGCAAGAAGAAGCATTTTTGTTTACTTTCGATCCATAGAAGAAAAAAGAATCAATCGTCTTTGATTTTCCTTTGAAATTTCCGGCTTTCAGAATTAAATTACAAAAAATTTCAATTTTCGTCAAGTCTGGTATTAAAGTTTTATTTTGGATTTTAATAAAAAAACCTAAAGCTCGGCCGAAGGCTGTTCAGCCTGACGCGAAATGCAAAGAAAACTTACAGCGTGATTAGATCGCTCCACCTTTTTGGGAGATTCCCAGTATAATTTTTCTTCCAAATCATTTTTTACCAAATGGGCGGAGCCAATCAATCACGCTGCGAAAATCTGCCGCGTTTCCCTGTTAGGAATACTTTTCCACGGCTCGTGCTTTTAGAAGAATTGTTTTCTGATACGCGCGTCGAAAAAGCATTCAGTATTTAGCTATTCGTTTCGACGCATGTCGTGAGCCTATCAAGATTTTTTTCAAACGAAACCGCTATAGCACATTTCAAATAATTTGAGTTGATTTTAAATTCTCGTTAATATTGAAAATACTGAAAAAACGGATAATAAACCAACAGTTTTACTGGAGGAATGCTGCTCGGAGCCGGAGGATCTTTTCTCCCACTCAATTTACTTTCGATGACATCGAAGCAAAAAACTGTCATATCCGCAGTTGCTATGGCCATTCTCTGGAAGGTGAATAAAATTTATACAAATTCACTGGTCAATCGGCGCATCCACAAACATAGCTAACGGAGCGCACTTTCAAATCCAGACGGGATTTGCACGCGGTCAATCACTAAATAGCATACACAGGCTAACTTTCTGCTCTTTCGATACGATTTGAGTGCACTCCGATACTATCTCTATGCCCTCTGGCCTTGAGAGTGCTGACGAAGCTTTAGAAGTATGCTGTCGGATAGCGCTAAGATAGCACTCTCTGCGCGTATCCTATTTATTGACTGACGATGTGGATGCCCCGATAGACCTTTGGTATTGCTTTTGCATGGAGATATGTAGCCAAGTCACAAACTTGTAAATAATCATAGGATGAATAGTTTTAAATTTTTTTTATAATCAATGAAAACTCAACAACAAAGCGTAATAAAAAGTAACAAATAACAACGATGATCATGTTCTCGTGCCAATGATTTCTGAAGCGGCGAACATGTAAAGTCGCTCATTGGCAGCCTTCAAACTTGCAACTTCTTCTCGTAACCGAACAATTTCTGCAACGTCGGACGGAGCAGGACTTTCTGAAACGAAACTGACTTATGTTTTAAACATCGAAATTCTGAGGTGAAAAAACCCCATTCTGGTGCTCAAAGCGATGGAATTGCTCTGGATTTTGATATACCTAGTAGGAAAGTATCAGAAGTATGAACCGCAAAATGGGCTCAAGTTTCTGTGATATCTGAGAGTGAACTCGAAAACAAGAGAAAAGTATTCCCTGAACACCATAAAGTACTGAGAAAGAGTCTTTCAAGATTTCTTAAAATACGTTCACATTTTCGATAGAACCTCTTTTATCGAGATAAAAAAACAAAAAACTTTTATTTTGCACACTTACGGCCGTATTTTTCCGCTAATCCGTCTAGCGCAACACTTTTTTTTTGTTTCCGATCCCTATAAGACTACTAGTTACTGAAACTGGACCAGATCTAAACTTTCCATCTTTCAAACACCATACTTGTGAATTTGATCTTTTTGAATACCCGGCTTCTTCCTCACTCCTAATTTAAAAGTGATAATATTTTTTCACGTTAACCAATTTGGAGGCGCTCCTAGTTAAAAAAATATCTCAGATGAGTTGAGATTTCAAAAATAATTTTCGAATCGTACCTAACAGGACTTCTTCCTTCGTAATACTTCCATTCGCCTTTGCGTTTCCGTTGACGTTCTTCCTCTTCTTCTTTCCCTTTTTGCCAATAGTCGGAGCTATTTCTTCCTCTATTACTATGACTTCATCCGAAGGATCAATAATTTCCACATCATCCGACGGTTCTTCGGCAGTTGCTGTTGGCATATGAGAGCCGGTGGCGTTCTAAACATTGGAAGATTCGTTCTGTATCAAGAAAACTGTGTTAAAAGTATCTAGATGTGCATGTAAACACTTTCTATTCCTCAAAAATTAATGACCTTTTTTGAACGTCGCAAAATTGTTCTTTTTTTAAAAGAGAAACCTTTCAAAAAAATTTTTTTTCCTTGAAAAAAACACGAGAAAAATGATCATAGCGTTTCTTTGAACAATCTCTTTATCACGAGAAATAAAGCAAAGTTTTGAAGATTGGGGGTTTTAAAGAAGTTTCGGAACGAAATAAAAAATGAAAAAAAAACTCACGAAGCTGTTGAGCAATCGTTCAATGTTGTCGTCAATAATCGTTTTCCACTCTTCCTGAAAATGAAAATTGCGGAAAAATGAGAAAAAAAGCCAACTTTTTGTTGGTTGAGATCCGCAGATATATTGATTGCTATCCTTGTCAACCGAGTGACATCTCTTTGGAGGGAACAATTCGGTCGCGCGTGGGTGGCAACCGAATAATCTGGAGCCGTAAAAACAGGCCAATTAGGCACAAACTTCAGAGTGGCGATTGTCGACCTCATGCTTGAAACCTAGAAGGAAAAAAAAAATATAAAGGTGGTATGAAAAAAAAAAAGAACGGCGACTTTTCCGATTTTTTCATATCGCTAGTGAACTTTCCGACGAAATCTTTTCCGACTTTTTTTTTCTCAATTAACCCTTTGTTTTGCATCTTCCCATATAAAGTAGGTAGCTGATTTATGATTAAAACACAAAAAAACAGAAACCGGAAGAAACAAGGGGAAAAAGTCGGAAAGTTCTCTAGAGATATGAAAAAATCGGAAAAGTCGCCTTTCCAATTTTCGCTGACTTTTTTTTTCATATAAAGGAATGAGAAAATAACAAATGGCAAACCTTGAGACATTGATGGCTGACGACATCCCAGATACAGTATCGACCGCTGGAATCGCCCGAAGCCAGCAAGTTTCCATCCGCATTCATGCACATACTTCAAAAATATTTGTTACTAGTTTTCAAACTATTTAAGAATTCTTTCTCTTATATTGAATTCGCTTTTTTTCTAATTTCTAAGCTAAAAATTCACGGTTTAGCAAAAACCTAAGTTATTTCGCTATACGTTTCTTTTATCCATCTAACGTGCACAGTGAAAGAAAAACTAACCAAAAAGTTGAACTTTAAAAAAAACCGATAAAAACTCCTTCTGGTTAAGAGCTGCTAAAAGAAACGGTTGATTTCATAATTATCTCAATTTCATCACAGAAAACGATCAAAATATGTGTACCTCGAAATCTCGTCGGAGTGGCCGTTCAGAATCGGAAAGTTGCGATTCGCTTCGTCTGAAGTTTGAATCAAAACGTCGCCAACAAAGTTCTGCAATTTTACTTCCCACATCATTTGAGAGATTTCTTCAACCTTGTAGAGATTGATTTGGGCAATGTTGCCAGTATCGGTTCCTAGAAATAGCCGCGAATCGGCAGGATCAATGGTACAACACGTCAAAGGCCTATCCGAGGAAACCTGCAAAAGGTAGCTCAAAAAGTCATATTTCTATTTTCGAAAAAAACAGCGTTTTTCGAACTACGAGATGGAAAAAAATAAAATAAACTCTCAGTAATTTTCCATAGATATATAATATAAAGTTTGGTATCGAAAAAAACATAAATAAGCCGAGTTGAAGAGAAAGGGGAAAAAAATAAAAGTGTCTCTATTAAAATACATTGAACTGAAGAAAAGAAAAATATATATATATGAAGTAACAGCGGAACATTAACATTTTGATGAAATGAACTAATTTGCCGTGTTAAAATTAAATGCAGAGTAATAGGAATACTTTCAGGATATTTTCAGTCAGTTTTTAACTTCTGAATCATCGTTATATGCTATCATCATCGGTTCTTCATTGCAGTTTTGAAGCCGGCAGGGCTCTTAAAAGGCTTAACTGAAAAATTTCATAGAAATTGCCTATGTTTTTCCTCATAAAAATTTATAAAGGCACTTTAAACACTACTGAAGGATAATAACGACATATGTGATCCATGAAAACTACGCACTAATTAAAATATCAGTTGCGTCTAAACTTTATTATCGAAGAATCCGAAAAATTTGCTCTCTGAAGAACGGGTGCTGCTCCTTTCCATTGAAAAAACTTATACCAACCTTGAAAATGACGGAGTCAGTAGTAATCGAGTGAATGCAGGCAATGTGATCCATTCCACAACTTATTATTCTGGGATTTCTATCCCCGGTAGTTGTTTTGAGGCTTCTCACTGCCAAAGTGTGTGAGTTCCATTTTCGAATAGGGAGAACCGAGTGTTCGCGATCCACAGATATTAAACTTGAAGAAATATGATGAAACTAGAACCTTAACAAAAATAGCTCACTCAATGAGTGTATAGACGTTGATTGAGCCATCTAAAGAAGCCGTTATAACCAGTGAACCGTCATCGGAAAGGCAAATTTGAGAAATATCCTGATAATGAGCGTCCGTAACAGAAAGAAGTTCACCGGAAACTAACTGAAAAAAGCTATAGAGATTAAAATAAATGTTTGAACTAACGTTCCAGACGAAAATTTGTTTTCTGATCGCCGCCAAAAGCAATTTTCCATCAGAGGATGTGCAGAAGGAAGTGACTGGGCCAGGAAGCACAACCTTGTGATGGAAACGATCTCGCGGATGGACACCCACAAAATGCACCAGGGGTCGGCCCTTGATCGAAACGATCATATGCTCGCCATCAGCTCCTGAACTTTCTCAATGAATCACCGAAATCAACCGTCATTTACCGCACATTTCGACGTTTCCTGTCGGCGCACCTTGGAGCTCTGATCCTTTGAAACTCCAACTCGAAACTCCTGTCCGAGGGTCGATCACGATTGTAGAATTTGGATCAACCCCAGAACTGCCAATGACCAGCAGCTGAACAGCATTGAGAAAAATTAAAAAAATTTGAATGAAAAAAGAACTAACCTCAGCTGTGCGAGAGCCTATTGAAGAGGTCATTGCGAGACCTAAAACTTATGATCTAAAATTATATACTACGCCTTTCAATTTTATTTTCCGTTCATTGAACCTTCAAAACGCACAGCCTACTCGAGGAGCTTGAGACTAGGTATTATTTTTTTCCTACCCTTCAGCTGCAAGTTGTCTCCACTTTTCTTTAAATTTTTGTTTTAGGATGGGGATGCTAATTGCTTAGACACCGAAAAAATTGAGCAATAAATAACAGCACAACTCGGACAATAACACTCCGAAAGCCGGTGTTGTGTTCATCTCAAGATTAATTCTCAAACTATAGATTCTCAGATGTTAAACTATCTAAACAAATCAAGTGTAAGTTATATATCGAGCTTAAGCGAGGGAATGCTCGTCATTTCTTGTAAGCTTTTGAAACTTATTTTCCAGCTAAGTCAACTATTAATTAGAAGCTTTCATAACTGAGCAAAAAAAGAAAAAAAGGTTTAAATTTCTCGAGAATAGCAGAAATATACTAAATGAATCGAATTCAAGGCGAATTTTATTACGAATCCGATTCTCTGATTTAGCTGAAAATATCTCAACAACAAACGCTCGTCAGATAGGACGCTTCCTGTGCATACACTCAAGCCGCAAACTCACATACTGAGAATTGTTTTTAAAAAAATAACTATAATCATATACAAGCGATCGTGAGAGCGCAGCTGAGTTCTCTAGCGACAACATGTTATAGCTGATTCACGGCAAGCTTGGAAATGCTAAGGGGGCGTGGTCTGTCTGCGCTCTCCACGAGCCAGGCACTATCTCGTGCATTATCGTGTCAGGACCCTTTTTTCGATGGCTCAAGCCAGCCGTGAATCAGCTATAACACGTTCCAGGAAGCCTGCACGTGGCGGCTTAGTAATAAAGGTGCGAAGGCCTTTTGCGAACCCCTGAGGGTACGATTTCGCACATCATGCCATCTCAGACGCGCTTCAAAAGGGCATGAACGCGCAGCCGCGGCTGGATGCGATGTTTCATGAGAGCTTTTAAATTTTCAAAGCGGGCAAAGAAGGATTTTTTTTATAACTGGAAAATTTTTTCGAGAAAATTTATAAACGGCTCATCACATATATAAACCAGTTTTTGTCGAGGAATATATGTTTGCAGCTATCTCACTCGATCAATGATTAGAAGCGATTTAGAACCAGCAGGATCAGTTAAGCCAAAAACTCTATTTCAATGGGTGAGTCACAATATTTATATGAAACTTGTGAATTATATTATTAATAAAGAAACTATTTTTATTCTGAAAATGATCCTTTAAGATATGGGTAAAGTTAAAGTTTTTGAATAAATAATTTAGCGAGATCGGAATGAACTTACAAAAAAATAGGAAAAATAATGAAAAAAATAAATAAAGAAAAAAATCGTAGAAAAGCACGAGAAGAAAGGTCGGAATATGCTTTTGAAAAATTTTTAAATTTAAAAAAATATGAAAAATTTGCTGTGGGAAAGTCCTTTTTACCACAAAAAAAGGTGAAAGCAGTTTAATTTGAGTCGTTTTCATATTAACTGAAACTATCATAGAAAGAAATATATTTAGTATTGTGACAAAGAGAGAACCGAAAAAGTCCACTTTTTCAATGTATAATTCAAAATATTAACGTAGTCTTTGTTGTTTTTTTCCCGATATAAACTTTTTTTGCACCAAAATTCCCTATTTCATAATCTCCAATGCTCCACTGATATTATTTTTTTAGAGCAAAAAAATTCTGTTAAAGTAACCGTTTTTCATCTGGAAGGAAAAATCAAAAAAAGATTTGAAACTAGTTGTATCACAGATTTGAAAAAAATTTCTGTATAAATTAATAAAAAAATGTTTTTTTAAATTAAATATTGCAGCATATTAACCACATAAATCTTCTGATTCAAAAGTTTTGACTTTTTTATTTTTGCGTTATCGGTTTCATTGAAATCAGTCCTCGGCTGTGGTTTTTCCGTTCTTAGCGAACGGCTAAATCGTATGTTTTTTTCAAAATTTAAATTGCTGAAGCTTCTTGAATTGGCCCATATGGTTGAAAAGGCAGTTAAAACACGAACATAAACCATCAATTTTTGTGCGCCGTGTATAACCCAACAACCATTTATGCAAATGAACTTAAAAGCGGCGCTGAGAAAGTGGGCGGAGCTGAGGGCGCACCGCCTACTTTTTTGGGTTTGTGAGAGGGGACCGAGAGCCCAAAGGCCTGGCCATTGTTCAGGCTCACTTTCGAGTCTGTCGCTCTGTAAATGACGGATCCATAGACCCAGAGAGGACGAACTTTTGTGCAGGTCCTGAGTCACACTCGTGTCTCTCCACCTCTTCGCCATTCATCCTTAGATTCCTAGGCATCTTCCTTCTGCAACTTTGGTTCAAACTTCTTTCATATTTTTTATTTTATAAAAACTTTAACATGTCCTCTTTTTTCTGAAAGTTGATTTTCTGTAAGGAGTCTGAAGTGATAATTTTTTTCGTTGTTGGTTTGAAATAGAAGTTTTTACTTTTTATTTTTTTGAGATTCAATATGCAATTCCTTAAATTTTTCAATAAAATAAGTTCTTTTTATTCACTACTACTTTGAAGAGTTGAACCAGCGTTTATATTCCATTTGTTCGAGTTTGAAAAAAAAAAGTTCGAATTTCAATTTTGTATTGGAATTTCATCAAAATTTATCGAATTATCGCTGTTTTAAAAAAAGCTTTTAATATATCTTAGCCTGTTAATCGAAAAATTCGTCATAATATCGTTTAGTTGATTTATGTAAATTTCTCGAAGGCAGCTACACGAGTTTTTTTACCTAATTTATTGAAAATCGCAAAACTTTTCAATGCGTTTTTTTCAGTATCTTTTTATTGCGAGAAAACTTTGAAAAATCCTTTCTTCGATAATTCTGTTATATTTTTCTATTATACCCAATAATAAAAAAGTTTTTTTAAATAAATTGTTTATTAACTAAATTAAATCTTGTACAATGTCGAGATTTCACCGAATGCAGAGGGAAAGATTGAGGGCTCTATTCAAATTCGAAAATTGTTCTGTTTTGGAATTCAACATTCTCTTTGCACAAACTGAAAGAAAAAAAAACGAATCGACAACACGATTTGCAGTCATCCGAACATCCGGAGGCCGACTTTTGCCTCAGTCACTTACCTTCGAAAAGATGCAAACGGCAAGTTGACTGGCCATGGTTCGTTTTCTCTTCATTCCACTGTTGACTGCGGCTCTCGTCGCTGGAGGGCGACTCGTCGACGTCGAGCTTCAGGAGCTCCGCATCGGACAGTCAGTTATCGCCTTATATCTTGGAGAAGCTTGACTAGAACTCCAGAAGTAGAGGAATTTACTCGATTCGGTAACAGAAAGAGTTTCGTTTCATTCTGAAGAGGTGTTTGAATTTTTAATAGCTCACTGGTTAATATAGTCGGAAAGTCAGGCTTCTTTGGTTTTTAATTTTCTAAAATCTTATGAAAAAAATAAACTTTTACGATTTGAAAGTGGAAAAATTCCTTTATATTTTCCCCATATGTTTTTTTTTCGTGCTCAGAAAGCTTCACATAGATTCTTTTCTCGTATAATTCTTTTACTTTTTATGATTGAATACTTTAAAGTGAGATAATTTTTTATTGAAGGTTTTCATCCTCTATTGAAATTTTAAAGTTACTATTCGTTTTCTTTTTTATAAACAATATTACGGTCTTCAACGCAAATAAGGTTCCGCTAGATCTTCAAACCTACACATCCGACCTCTCACCTTTAAAAATTAGGGCCAACCTTTTGTTTTGATCGCAACACGGGCGCTCTAACTGGTGTTTTCTTTCAACTTATGGTTCTCGAGTTCCCATGCCTTCGTCGATTCTTTGTTTCCATGTTGTCCTTAAATCTTTGTTTTTCTTCCTGTATCCTCCAAGTAAAAATTTCCGTAAACAAATTTATTTTTTTGTGTAGAGGCGATTCAAAGATTTGTTTCCATAGTATCAATTACAACAAGCTTTTTTGATAATAGTGCAGTTCGCTCATTTTATGACCCATATTGAAGCTATCGAATTTCAACAGGAGGCATTAAAATCCTCATTTTTTGTTACAGCGATTTGCTTCCTGTTTCAATCCCGTAACGTTGCCGAACAACCTATACTTTAAAACGCTAAATAGCCAATCGAAAAGAAAAATCAACGTTGTCGCGCATCAAAAGTTCCTGAAGAGTGGAACGCGTGAAATGCGATTTCATTGAAAGGCCGCGCGATGCCTGCCAGAAAAAAAAGAAGAAAAAAACTGCGAAAGGGTCAATCTGAACGAGGGTTTTGATCTACTTTCGAGGAAAATAGGGAAACCGGCAAAAGTTGGAGACGGCGCCCCGCGGCGCCTCTGAATGCCTCCACAGCCAATACTTTTGCGTCCTTCGAGGGCATTCAGAAGCGATTCTGCGGCCAATCAAACCACAGAAACGTGTTGTGGCAGCGGATGTTGGCTGCAGAATCATGGGAATGATTGTGGCCATCGAAGAACCTTTTTAGTAAAGTCGGAAGCAATTCGATACAATAGAAGGTTGATAAAAGGGCTTCCAATCGCAGAAGTTTGAGATACTCTACGAAAGCTGTTTTTTTTTGGTCGGAAAACTTCAGGGCTTCTTTTCACGATGTTTTTCATCCGATTGTAGTAGTGCGCAGTAATTTAAATTGGTTTCACTCACGAATATGTGTTACAATTTTCTCTTCCAGTTTTAGATGGATTAAAAAAAAGTTTTTGCAGAAGCCTAGAGTCTTGGCGTATTCTTCTCTTTTTGCATATTTCTGCTTCAAAGTGTGTGCGAAACTAGAATAATGAAGAGAACACGGACCTGAGGTCATTTGGTTCAGGCTCCTCGCATCGGGAGCTGTTCCATTCGTGTTTACCGAGAAAGGGCGTCTGATTTCGCGCTGTTCCCAGTATGTGTGTCCATCGGCTTACGACATTACGCGGGTGGCACATAATATAACGACAATAATAATAATGGTAATAGTGGAAGGAAAGGCTGAGCCTCAGCCGATGGTATCGGCATGTTGACGGGTGGTCTCGCCTTAATCCGAAGGACCATCCATCATTTGGCCAAGCTGTTATCGCCTAGCCGTTTTTTTCGCTTGCGTAATTCTCTTTGCACCCAAATTTGAGGTCTGAGCCGACAGTTGTGGCTAGATGACGTAGAAAAAAAAAACCCAATTTTTATCCACTATTTAATGGCTGAGAAGTAGGTTATTGAGGCTTTTGCCAAGAGTTGACAATTATCGAACGAGCATATCTTTTCTGATAAAGATATTCCTGTAAAAAAACGGACCAAGATATCACTTTCTCGACTTTTTCGTTTTAGTTTTGGGTTCAGTCCGAAAAAGACTGTTTCTGTTACACTTAAAAGGGATTTTTTCGTCATCAAAGCAATAATTCCTAGCAAGCTTGGCGTAGTTTTTTTGATCATTGACCAATAAAAAATTTTTTTTAACCGCAAACAAGTTTTCATTTTTTTTTTCTCTCGAAGAACGCTTCGAGTATTTGGTGAATCGAAATTGGCAATTGAAATCAGCCGCAGTGTCTTTAAACGGTTTTTTCTTCTTGAAGTCAGGAAAAGTGGTCAAAGGGAGTTGAGAAATTCTTCCAGATCTCAGACACAATAAAAAAGTTGAAGGCTTCTCAGTTGAGTTTTTTGAAATTTCTTCGTTTTTGGCTTTTTTGAAAGTTGGAGTAGTCTCGTATCCCTTTGCTTTCTGATTTGAACGAAGGTTTTGAGCTAGCAGTATCTTTCGTTGAAAAATTGCTCCTCAGCGTGACTTCCCGACAGTGATTGAACTCGTTCTCATCTTAGAAAGATGACCTCGGCCTTCTTTTCCTCAAATTTTTCAATTCTCACGCACGACATCGGTCTGGCTCTGCAGTCCGATAATCCTTCTCCCTCTAAGCCACTGGATCATCAAGGAAACTCCTGCACGCTTTTGTGACATTCTCAACGGTTACTTTTGACGGCTTTGCGTCACCCCCGGCAAGCAAATAAAAATCGCGCGAAACGCGTAATTTGAAAAGCTCGTAAACCGTTATTGTTGGTCGAATTTATGGCCCACATCATTCACACCGCCGGTGTATGTATGTATGTGTGTTGGGATCAATGTTGAATTTCGTACACGTTTACGATCAACTTTTTGTCGTTGCGGGTGGTCAAAGATATGTACTTGTCCTCGGATTGTTGAAAAAAGTGGGAAAAGCTTTTTTGAATGGCAAGTACGAAAAGAAAAAACTTGCGCTGGGGTTCCTTCAACCATTGTCAGAAAGTTCTTCTATAACTTTTTCAATTTCTTCAGACTGTTGAGCACATTTTGAGAAATGGGTAAAGAAAATCCCAACCTCATTACGTTAATTTTAACAGACTCATTCCTGCATGATTTTCATTTTCACTACATCGCCGGTAAAAAAGAGGGAGTAGATAGGTTAGACATAAGTATGAAAAATGAGGTCTTGAGGGTTGAAAAACAGAAATAAAAAAAGAAATCTCGGAATAAATTTGCTCATACTTTGCTCCTAGTTTTTTTTCCATCGAATTCAGCAGTATCCGAATTTCCTCTTTGGACCCACCAAACCGCAGCTCGGGCTGACCTCTGTCCGTCACCAAACTGTTTGCGATGACCTCCAGCCGTTATCTCGGCCTTTTTTGGGGATGAATCAGATGATCTGCCATAATTGCACGTTTCGGCTGGAGGGTGCGAAGACGTTTCTGAGCAGGTAGCGCTGGGAAACCCAATTCGATTACGTAAATGGACACGCGCGCGGGAACCTCGCCTTTTATCTCCTTTGTCCACTTTCTCAACTACTAATTCATTAGAAACTAATTAATGGGGTACGCAAAAGACCTTGGATTCAGAAGAAAAAAATGTATTCACACCAATTTCGACCATATTCTTGATTTCCTGGCGTCGCCTCCGCTGGCTACACTCAAAAATTTTTCGAACCTTCACCATTTTTCTGCGATATAAATATGAAAAAAAGCTTTAAAAAAAA